AACCTAGTGATTCTGTGATTCTGTGAAGCGAGTTAACAAGCGACTGTCAACAGCAACTTGTATGAAATGGGTGCTTGTAGAAAATATGAAGGGTGTAATAGAGGAGCTACATGCAAACAGGAGGGAAGTGGAAGCAGGGAAAACAAGCCACAGAAGGAATGAGGTAAACTGAATCTCCATGTTGATTGCATGCTGTTTTTTTTATCCCCATGATGCATCCTCTGTGGCACATAAACTGCATGTTAACGGTACAGCAGCAAACTGCAGAACTGGTGCAGGCTTTGTAATATATCCATTACCAAACCAATGTGCCACAGGTGTGCAACTCACACCACTCTGAAGTGATAGATTATGCTGACCAAGTAGATCTGACGCTGGCTTGATTTATGTTGCCCAAATCTTGCTCAAGTGGAAAAATTCTCACTTGCATGCTGTAGATCTAAATGCAACTCAACTTCTGTTGTACTGTTACAACATGTATCTTCAATTGTGTCTGCACCTTACGAGGCTGTTCAAATTGTCAAAACCTCTGTGCTGCATGCAGGAACAGCACAGTATCATTATACATGAAACTCACCTGGGCTTGGGCACTCGTTCGTCAGGAACTGGTGTCCATGTGGAATCTGGAGACTTCTGCTCTTTGAATCTCCCAGTAAATACATTGGCAATGTCAAGCATGTCATAGGCACAGACTGCAGAGCCAGGGATGCTGCAAAGTGACATTTCCCAGAAATTGTTACTCATTCTGCAGTTATGCATAAAATCTTGAGTGAAAAACACGCTGTATAGAAGTCTTCCTGTCACAGGCTACTCAATCCTGAACTCTGTAACCTCTGAGTATTGACAGGAAAAGCCAGCCCCATGGAAAAGCCTGAAATATACCAATCAGCAAACAGCTTCTGCCAGCACAGTTTGTTTCAAAGCCTCTATAGAAAGAAGTAATCGCAATAATCTTGAGGAAGGGAAAGAATCTGGGAAACTCTGTGTACCACTGGCGAGGCATGAGGAGTAATAGCCAGTCTCATTGAGAGCCCATTATTTGGAAATTTAAGTTCATGTAAGTCACAACATATCTCGGTATTAATTCTCACAGTCCCTGTCAAGCCTCAAAAATACACTGCAGACAGTTCAGAAGTTGCTGCTGATCAAACAGGGAGCATGCTGCAACGTGCCATTGATCTGGCTTTTACACGTTATTCCTCCATCCTCCCACACCCTGATCTCCACCAGTTTTTCCTAGTGGAAAAGAGTTAACTATGCTCAGAAATTTGCTTAACTCAGTGAGGTGTAAAGAGCTTATAGAAGCAAATTCAATTTTATTTTTAGATCATAAAGTTATAAATTTCAAATTTTTGATTATTTGCATGCAACTGCATGATAGCATTGTCTAAATGTAATTATACCCTTACCTACATACTTTCTGAAAGTCTTAGGGGCTTCCCATGGTCAGTCACTTGAAAGTATGAATTATTCATTTATTCACCTTTAATTTTTTTACACATGAACTACTGTATTTCTGTCTGACTTTCACTGCTTGATTTTATCAGGTGAATAGCATGAACCCAGCTGGCTGAGGCTTTCAATTGTGCTTTTAGCTAGTAGGCTATTATACAGCAAAGAAAAAAAAATTAGGGACTATAATACTGTTGGAGAGAATAAAACTAAATTCATAAAGGCATGTAAATTGATAGGAAAATAACTATTTGAATATTAAAAGGTTTCAAAATGCTTGAAGGAAACAACGAGTAGGGAGACGGTATTAGCGTTACTCTGATCTCCACAGATTTTTACATGGAAGGAAACTTCAAAGCTCTATAGTAACATCATACTACACAGCACGAGTTTTAAATAGAGGCAGCCACATGCGTGTCGATGTAAGAGTTGGTCAAGGGTATATTCCGCCACACACAGGACCTCACCCTAAAAGACACCTCAAAACCCATGCCAGCTAGAAGATTTTGCACTTTGCTGAATTAAGCCCTAATTTAAAAACTAAAAATTTTTTTTACGTACTATACAGAACTAAAAGTGCTAAGAACTGTGCTCAACACGTAACTCCACAGTGATGCAGGGACTGCCGTGGTGCGACGACTGCAACACCTTTTACTCTTGAGGGCGGCAATTCGTGGGTCTGCAATGTGATAAAGCCATACAGATGGAGTACTGTGGGTCACAGCCAAGCCATCTCCCGACCACTGGACTACAACCCATCACCAGCTCCTACTCTGGGTGACCTCAGGCTAGACTGAGGAATCTCTTCCAGCTCACTCTAGGCGGAAGTTTTGTTCCAGAGATCAAAAATATTTGTTGTAGCTTTTCCTTAGTGGAGGAGGAATGAGAGAGATGCATCCATGCCAGAGGTAGGTCTGTTAATGAGATGTCTCCAAGCCTATGTGCCTTCCTGTCATCTTCAATGTCTGGCAAAAAATGGGGCCTATAATATAGTACCTTGATTTTAACACCAAGTACTTAGATTTAAAAACGCAGGGTTTAAGGATAAGTATTATTCATGACACAGGAGGGCAATCTCAATTTTGAGATAATCTCAAGATACAACCTATTTTCTGATGCTGAATCTCTGTTTGTTCACTTCTTTTATTAAGCCAGTTTGCATAAAAATAGATCATCTTAATTTAAGCCCTATTCCCTATTGGTGGCATAATTATTCCATTGCAGTTCCTATCGTTTTGATGTCAAAAGTAACGATTATACATTACAGGCCTGGGCTTACTCTCATTTGAAGTCAGCTATGTGCATGACCTCACTGAGGTCAGCCTTTGACAAGAGGTGGTGAGTGTACAGCAAAAACAGATGGATTTCAGCAATAAAGTTCCCCTTTAAGCTCAAACATTGCTCTGTCAAACAGCAATACATTTTTTAATTAGAATGCTACTATTTTTTTAGCTTCTCTGGGAGACCTCAGTAATTAGATACAGTTACTCTTCTAATAGCTTCTGGAGAAACATGTTATCATATGTAATGGTAATAAATTCTTTGCAGATGAACTGATGCTTTTGGAAAAACACATGAGCAATGAAATATAGGTGTTCTGGGGACCCTCTTTCCCAACCAGCAGGACAGCGCAGGATCTCGGCTTTCCTAGGAGAAAATGCAAGAGTCAATTGGGATGCAGGAAATAGAGGGAAGGAGTACTAATGTGGTTCTTGCTGGTTTAGATGTAAACAGGACAGACCCGGTTCTCTGTGAGAAAAAAAATCCTATTTCCTCTTTGGAATAACATTCTGCAAGTTACATGCTGCAAAACTTCTTGGTGGCTGCTCTGAATTATTCCCATGTAAAGAAAAATACGTCCAAGGAACATGCCCAGATATTAAATGGCTGACAGCTGCTCTAAATTATCAGATATAAAATGCAGTAAGCAATACCAGGGTATCTTAAAATGAAACACAAACTATCAGTAAGCGTGTGATACATAATAATTACATTGTATGAGCAATCACTTCTTGTACCTTCATAAAGTAAAAAGAAACTGCAGTGAAAAGCAAAATTTAAAGGAAACAGAAGGTAAAAGGTTATTGCGCCTATTACCTATTATATGGAGTGGAGAAGGTTGCTAAAACAACAGCCCGGCCATTGAAATGGATAACATCTGTAACTGCTTGCAGTATGTTAAAGTAGAAGTGTGAATCGCCAGGAACGGAGCAGTTCAAACGAGCCTTGAGAAAGGAAGTCCACTGTTTTTCCAGCACTCTCTGAGATCCTCCCATGTCATTTTTGCAAACCTGAGCCACCCTTGGGAAAACTACCTGGAAGGAGTTAGAGCAAAAATAAGGGAGAAAATGAAATGTTTGTTTGAACTAAAAGACTTTGTTAGAATTTTGCTTTTAAAACTTTTGGAATAACACAGCAAGGTGCTTAATTTAATCCCACGTCTCCATAATCTGTGATAAATAAGAAACAGAGAAAAACTTGGCTTTGGAACAGTGTGCTATAAAAGGTAACGCTGTGGCATTTACTATACAGCCATAAATCCTTCAGGAGATCTGTTCTCAACCCATATAAAACTCATTTCCATACAGACTGCTTAGCTTTCTATTTCGCCAAACAAAAGCACATTTTATATTCGCAGTCCCTGCAACCCATGCTGCCTGCTCTGACTCTTGTGTTTTCAGCACTTAAAAACTATGCAAATCTTGCTGGGCTTTTATTCCTGCCCTCCACCTTTGTGACCTTGGTCAGCTTTTCTGACTGCTTAGTCAGAAATCTATTGTTAAATTAGCAAAAATGCAGAAAGTGTTTCATTATTCTTCGCAGAACAGCAGAGCATAAAATTCCTGCCCCTGTATACCCAGCACTCCCCACTTCAGATTTCTTACAGAAAAATATCTCCCTGCTTTGGAATCCATTTTTAACAATTACCTACTATGCTGAACTAACTACGTTTGCCTTGTGCTTTTTATGATTTGAGAAAAGAGATTCCAGCATACACCATCACTGTAAGAAACCACCCTGTTTCCTTTCAAGATAGTGCAATGTTTCACTCCAACCAACCTTTTGGCTTGAGCGATAGGAATCTTCTCAACATGATGACCTTGTCATCATGATTTATGGTTCTCATTTCAAGGTCACTCCTAACAGCATTGGTCCAAGAATAGCGTATGTTTTCCTCCTCCTGGATCTGACAAAGTCATTCAACGTGATGCTTTTGCCCTTACCTTTCCCATGCTGTTGTACTCCACTGCTATTTCCCGGAAGAAGAAGTAAATGTAATTGCCATAGTCCACTGCCTGGACAAAGTATGGTTCTAGAAAAAAACCCCAAGACATCCTATTTAGGCACCACGTACAGTGTATAGCATGCGTGTGCAAAGAGAAGCCAAATACATTCACACTCAACGTCCAAAGGTGAAATGCCCGCATTAGGCAAACTTGCTCAGTTTTCAGAACTAGCAACATCCCCACCGCAGAAGAACCAGTGTCTGGGGACAGGACAGCTGGGGACAAGTCTGTGCAACATCACTGAAAGGCAGTTAAGTGTTTGCCACGTTAAGACGTTTGAGACGTCTGCCCCGCGTGGTGTACCAGGAAAGGTAAAGAGGCAATATATAATGGTATGCCTGAGGGGTCCAAGCAGTGCTCTTTATGGCATGCAGGCTGTGTGTGGAAGGAATAGCAAACCGTGTAACTGCTTCTGCCCACACGTGTCTGTAGCAGCAAGCAAAGTGGGACAGCTAAAGCCGACACCTGGCAAAACATTTCTGCATGCAGAAAAAGACTTCAAACTATGGCTTTGCTCCCTGTTAAAATCACTCCAAATGGTAACTATTCATAACGCCTACGTGAAGCTAAACAGCACCATTCTTAACAATGAGGGCATTTAAAGCACAGAAATTGCCTAATTCAGTGGCAGCTGTATAGTCCCTAAGAACCATAAAAGAAAGGCTTTGTGCAATATTCCCATAATTTTATTTTCATTGATTAATCTTAATGTTATAGGACAAACCCTCTATACTTCATGAAGCCTTTACTGTTACCTAAAACAGTCTTGGGGCAGGAATATTTTCAAACACAGCCCAAGCACACCGAGCCCTGCAACCCCCCAATCCAACAGCGGCAAACTGATGGATTTCATCTTGGAAAGCTCGCTGGAATATATATTCTGATCTACCATGCCCACAGTTTCTATCACGTCCAGTAACTTGGGGTCA